CTTCTTCTTCTCCTTCTTCTTCTTCTCGGCCTCTTCCCCTTCTTCTTCTCCTTCTTCTTCTCCTTGGCCTCTTCCCCTTCTTCTTCTCCTTCTTCTTCTCCTTCTTCTTCTTGGCATCTTCCCCTTCTTCTTCTCCTTCTTCTTCTCCTCGGCCTCTTCCCCTTCTTCTTCTTGGCCTCTTCCCTCTTCTTCTCCTTTCCTCGGCCTCTGCCCTTTCTTCTTCTCCTTCCTCCTTTCCTCGGCCTCTTCCCTTTCTTCTTCGCCTTCCTCCTTTCCTCGGCCTCTTCCCTTTCTTCTTCTCCTTCCTCCTTTCCTCGGCCTCTTCCCTTTCTTCTTCTCCTTCCCCCTTTCCTCGGCCTCTTCCCTTTCTTCTTCTTCTTCTTCCTCCTTTCCTCGGCCTCTTCCCTTTCCTCCCTCCCTTCTTCCCTTTCTTCTTCTTCTTATTCCTCCTTTCCTCGGCCTCTTCCCTTTCCTCCCTCCCTTCTTCATCCTTTCAATTTAGGGTCCTCGAGAGATGCCCATCCTACTCGGCCATTAGGGAGATCGGATGGATTGATTAGACCATCATTTTCACACACCTAATAATACCTTCTGTTCTTCCTTCCTTTCTTGTTCTGCCTACTTGCTCTCCGTCCTTCTTGGGTTCGTGGAACATGTGGAAGTTTGCAGGACTGCATAATCTCTTGAATACGTTTCCGATTGAAAGCAAGCATTTCGCAAATCGTTTTGTCATGGCTTGTTCTCTGTGTCTTTGCTTTCCTTGCTTGCCCATGATGTTGTTGGAAAACAATTATCTGCTGGGCCTTCAGAAACTTCAGCAAACATAGTCTCCTCCTCTCTAAGACTTTTCTTTTGCCCGTTGCTTTGCTGGGCCTTCAGAAACTTCAGCAAACATAGTCTCCTCCTCTCTAAGACTTCTCTTTTGCCCGTTGCTTAGCCTTCTGAAGCTTCAACAAACTAAGTCTCCTCTTCTCTTGTCTTGTGCCCGTTCCTCCTCGCGGACTCCTTTTTTTTGTCACTATGTAGGTGATGCGCATATCATTACGAACGCCGGTGGGCGCATCGACGATGCTCTCCGCTCGTTGGTCATCAGCCAGCATGCCCTGGGAACGACAGGCGTTGCGGTTATCCATCACACGGAATGTGGTGCCAACAAACTGGACAACAACATTTTCCGCGTGCAGTTGAAGAAGAAGTTCTCGGAGACCTGCACCATTGATTTCCTGCCCTTCAAAGATCTAGAGCGGTCCGTGATTGATGATGTGGAGGCCATCGAGAGGTGTCCGTACGTTCCCAAGTTCGTCGCGGTCCGGGGTTACGTGTATGACGTGGCGACGGGATCGCTACGCCGCCTAGACTGTGGCAGAAAGCTCGGGATCAAGCACGAGAAAGCGATCCCGACTCCGATGCCTCCCCCGGTGGTCAAGGTGCAAGCCAAGACTGCAGCCTTGCCCGCGCCCGTCGCGACGAAGACATCTATCAGCTCCAGCTTGCCAGACGGAGACATGCAGCAGTCGTCGGTTGTGCCCCAGCTGACCAAGGCCAATGGGAACTACGCATCATCATTCGCGCTGGGAACGCTCTCGCACAAGCCGTCCAGGAAAGTAGCTGTTGTGACGTGTATGGATTGCAGACTTGAACCCGCGCGCTCCCTCGGATTAGAGCCAGGTAGGCCATCGTTTATATAGCATAATTATTAATTATGCTCTTTTTCTCACTTCGATGTTTTTTTCTTTTTTCTTTTTTTTTGAAGATGCAAACATCCAAGAGTAGTCTGCTGTTTTTTGTTTTTTGTGTTTTTTTTTTGTGCCTTTGTTAACATCAGAGAATGTAAGAGTACTTTTCTGGGGTTAGTGAGTGTGCTTGGGCATGCAATAATTACATAGGGTGGTGAGTGCTCGGGCAGGTTGCCAAGCAATCCAATGCAGACGGCAAAAAAAAAAGTCCGCCGAGGGTCAAAAAGGAGGTGGGCGGGGAGGAATGACAAAGAGCTGGAAGTTTTTCTTTTTCTTTGCGATGTATAGATCTAGAATGGGCAATGACCCAACGGGCCTAGCTCAGTTGGTACACCCGTCAACTGTTGAAATACAGACCTGAGTTCAAATCCAGATGCAATCAGATGGACAAAATAAAATAATTATGAATTACCTTGGCTGGTCATCTCAATGATGTCTTCAAGGACATCACTCATTAAAAATATATAAGAAATTAAGAATGGGTAATGGGGAAATTCCACGTGCATACAAAGTACAGTGTCAAAGTAATGGCGAAGTAGTGAGCGGGACCCGATCGAGCTCGGGATGTAGATAGGAAAGATCAGAACAGATACACATCCCTCTGACAGAGCTCCCAATCTAGATGTTGACTATTTTTAAAGCTGTTTTTACAAAAAAAGAGGAGTGATTTTGCATTCACAATTTCACACGTTTAGCAAATGCCAAATAGCGAAACATCAGATGTTGACTATTTTTAAAGCTGTTTTTACAAAAAAAGAGGAGTGATTTTGCATTCACAATTTCACACGTTTAGCAAATGCCAAATAGCGAAACATCAGATGTTGACTATTTTTAAAGCTGTTTTTACAAAAAAAGAGGAGTGATTTTGCATTCACAATTTCACACGTTTAGCAAATGCCAAATAGCGAAACATCATGAGTCTAACGTATATTATATTTGAAAGTCGGTCAAGAAATCCTGTATTTTCTGTTATGGTGGACATCGACATTTTCTTTTACTCGGACAGGGTGCTCATATCTGAGTTCTTGTGATTGGTAATTTGGTAGCCATCGGTATTTTCGTTTACTTGGACAGGGTGCTCCATTAGCACATGTTTGTGTTTGTAACTTAGTACAATAGGATTGCTTTGTGACTGGCCCATCTTCTGGGTACCCCGTGAAGGCCCATTTTGCCGTAATTCGCATATTTTGTTTTTTCAGACTGACTGGGCCCAGTAACAGGCCCAGTTTACTGGGACTGTGGTACATTTCAGGAACAGACGGACCGCCTGCAGAATTCGGAGCCATACTGGGACTTCGTGAATTGATACGGGTAATACGGGTCATACGACCCCAGGGTGGGACGTTACTGCAACCACTAGGCTTGTGCGTGGACAATATTAGTTATTATTAGGATTAACTTGCTATTATTTCGACCTCTTGGGTCAGCCATTCGGGGGCTATCATTATCGTTCCGGAACGGTAATGCGGGCATAGGAGTGTGGATCTACGGAGGTTCTTGGGCGAGTTTGAATGAACGGAGTGGACTCGTTTCAAAATTGGGACGAGTTTATCTGTCATTCTGAGTTGTTTGCACTTCTCGTGTGTGACTTCTGTTTGCATTGTATCCTGAAGTAGCCATCGATGTGATCGATTGTTGGTTAAGGATTGACTGGATTCATTGCCGGCCCATTGATGTGATCGAATTTTGGTTGAGGATTAACTGGATTCATTGCCGGTGGCACCTTCGGCCACGGATCCCCCGGCCTCATACGCGGCCGAGGAGGCCAGCCGTGACCCCGCGGCCTAGGGCGTGCAGCCGAGTTTATGTGTGGCCGCACCACGGCCAGGCGGAGCCGTGTGCCACCTGTGCAGGCCGGCTCCCTGCCCCCCCGCCAAAAAACAACTAAAAAAAATGAAATGTGGGGGGGTTAATATTTCGTTTTTAGGGGGTCTTAGAAAGAATATACCCCCCCCCCACCCCCACCCCCCCCCAGTGCAAGGAATATGAGCGAGAGCGATAGACAGAAATCCAAGTTGCAAAATCACGAAGAAGCTCAGATAGTCATGAACCAAGCAGAGAGTGCAATGCACCAAGATACCGTCCAAATAAGAGCAATACAATGAACTCAAATGTCAATGTCGCCACTCTCTGGTCACACCAACACTGTATCCAATGTCACACTTGCTGTTGGCGCCCAGCGCCCAGCTTAGCCTACTCGTCCTTTCTAGCCTATCTACGTTCTTGCAACTGGGTCACTCTGAAGTCGAAAACCAATGTATGTGACATCAGTAGCAATGCCGACCACCAGCATACACCAGGTAAGTTCTCTCTCCTCCCGTCATCACCCCTCGTCTTCCCACAGCATGCGCCTCCTACCCGAAGACCACCTTCGCCATCACCTGCCTTGCACCCCTCCAGCCTGGCTATGGCTGCTGTGCGCCCGCTGCCCTTGCAGCGCCCCTCACCTCTGTGCCCGCGCGCGTCCGACCAGCAGGCCCATCCAGGTGCTAGCGCAGCAACGCAGCAGCGTGTCCGCATTGCCTGACAAGGCCAGAATGCCACTTCCAGGGGCTCACACTTTCCTTTATGGAAAGTGTTTCACTGCTGGCTGTCCTGGCCAGGCATGTGGGGGGCCCAGTAGCTTCGGTTGGGCCCCAAGTGTCTGCGCGCAGGCCCAGTTTCCGAACCTTGACTGGGCCTCGTGCAGTTAGGCACGTTCAGGCAGCCACCCAGCCTCCAAGTGTTTGCAGCATCCTCATTGGCTCGCGATACATGTGTGATGGCAAAGCTGCTACCTCGTTGGCCCGTAACCAGTCAGTGATGTGTCAGTCTCGCACAGCGTGTGCCCAGGGCGCAACCGCCTGAGCCCTGGGCTCAACTGTACAGCACAGCCCTGTGGTTTTGGAAAGAGCCTGGACGCTCACGTTGTGCTGTAACCAACTGGCGTGCTGCAACTGTCTGAGTACCCACATATGGAAAAATTGTCAAGGTCTCACGTGGATATTCAGGCTCGCCTTCACTTAGGGCGGGCACGAGGCTTGCTGGGGCCACTGCCCAGAACACTTGTATGTTTTATAAGGGCTCTGCGAGGCTCATTCCTCGCATTCCAACCCCCTTAGCTTCGAAAGTCCGCTGAGATGCTTCTACGCAGGTGCCTTCCCCTTCAGTCTTCGTACGTACTCAGCCACGATCTGAGGTGCTGTCTTGACAAGCTCCTGTCTTGTGAACCAACGATCTTCTTTTGGATCTGTATGATGCATGAACCTGACCCGGTACTCCCTCATAGGTTTGGGCGGTCTTCTTCTGCCAGCAGGCTTGGGAACAGGCAAGTCTCGGTGTTCCAAGATGTCGTCGACTTTCACGTGGCCATCCATGGGTGGGGGCAGCATTGACCTTCTTGATGGGAACTGTTATGTCTCAGGGAAAGGTGCAAGCTTGGAAGCGTGAAATACAGGGTAAGTGCGCAGATGATCAGGGATTCTTATGACGTACGAGGGACCATCCAGATCATTACCCACGATATCTAGGACTTCCCAAGGACCGAAGCACTGTGGCATTAGTTCTCTAGAGATGCCAAATTCCTGTCCCAATTCACTAGCCTTTTTCCCAGACGTGTTCCCCTACCTGAAATGTGTTCTGTTGTCTATGCTTGTTCTCATAGGCAATCGTTGCCTACCTCTTGGCCTGAGCAGCAGGACAGAAGGGTCGAGCGCTGGCGTACCTTTTACCAGCGATGCTGGGTGATCTTTGCTGTGAGATGTAAGGTCCGTGATCTCCTGACTTTTGCATCTGTATTTGTATCTAATCGTTGCCTCTTGAGAATTTTCTCATATTCTTGACTGCCTGCTGCAACCGTTTCTCATACTGGACACCAAATTCCATAGTTCCAGGTGTTGTAGTGGCTCGATTTTCAGGTAGGAGGAAGTCTTGAGCAGATATAGGCAGGCTTCCACCCGAAATGCAGCTGGTTGGGACTGACGCCGGTGGTGCTGTGTACAGTGTTATTGTACAGACTGGCGATGAGAGGAAGTTTCTCATCCCAGTCATCTTGGCTGGGCTTGATGTAATGCTTAAGCAGATGTTGCACCACATGGTTCATCTGTTCCGCTTGACCATTTGCTTCGGGATGATTCCCCGAAGTCATTTGGAGTTCACTGCCCATCTGTTCAGCAGCCTTCTTTCACATTTCACTTGTGAATCTGACATCTTTGTCACTGACAATGGTTTTGGCAGTCCAAAGTCGTGCACCCAGTTATCCATGAATAACTTGATGACGTGTTCAGTCTTTGTTGTCTCGAGTATGGTGATTAGTCTAGCATACTTAGTGAACCGGTCTACTATGACCAAGATGTGTCACTTGCCACTCTTGCTGGTCACGAGGGTATCCATGAAATCCATGGAAACACTTTGTCCCAGACTGCAGGAATGCGCAAGGGCTTGAGTAATCCAAGCGGAGCTTGAGTTCGCGGCTTGTCCTGCTGACGGAACTGACAAGTCTGGACGTACTTCTTCGCATCGTCAAGCATACCAGGCCACCAGAAACGCTGTACTAAGTTAGCACTAGTCTTCTTGTAATTGAAATGACCTGTCGCATTATGACACTCACCTAGAAACAAAGTACGCAAAATTTCACTGGATGGAACTTTTTTCTTTTCTTTTTTTTTCCAAATAGTAAACCCCAAGAAGCATCAAACATGTCTGAAAATTTCCATGATGCAAAGCTGTGGTCGTATCAGGCACTGGCTCCCAGTGCAACTCCACAAAAAGCCAAATGAAACACAGACCTGAAGAAACCTATACGCAAGCAGTTATTACCAAGACCCTCATAAACCAAGAACGACCACACACCCTCTGCTACTTATGCCAGCACGTCCATGGACACGCGATTTGGTTATCTTCGTAAAGAAAATTTATCAAAACCAATCTAGTCTCACAGGGCATATGTTATTTATACAATCAATCACCGATGCAATATCTGAAGGAGGAGAAGTTCAGTGTACTATATCCTTAAACTTTGTGAATCGAAATCTTTCATTCGCTGGTAAAACTGCGCATGATCGCCAAACCACCTGATGTATTGCCAGCTGCTCCGGCGAGATATGAACTGAGATGATGATGGCAGCAGCAACCACACCTGACTTGCTGCACCCAATCGGAAAACAAAAATGAAAGGCAAGAAGAAGATTCAATAACAGAACTTGTAAGACTTGTAAGAATGTACCCCCCCCTCTATCGTAAGCACGACGAAGCAGCAGAATACAGGGCGAATAGAAACACAATGCCTTTGATACCCTTACCCCAGATTACATAGCCACACAGTTAGTCTACTTACCACACCCAGACATTCCTGCTTTCCTCCCCTTTCGCTCAGGCTTTGTCCATGCCCCATTTTGCGGTCCACAGACTTTCACATGGATATTTTGACCATACCCTCATCAGGGAGTATAGATTGGGAGTAGCACACGCATTGCCCGACCCACAGACTTTCACATGGGTATTTTGACCATACCCTCACGAGGGCGTATAGATTGGGAGTAATGCATGCATTGACAGTAATTTACGGGTGCCAGCCCGGCAACTTATGGGCATGCAGTGCCAGCGTTTGGGCCGAAGGCACAACACTTGACCTTGCGAGCCGATTGGCTCTTTGCGATTCTCCCAACATTCACTAGCGTGCCGGTCCAGTCAACGTCGCTTCAATTGCCCTCGCTATGTCCACCATTGATGGCTTCTTGGATATCCGCTAATCTGTGCACTGGAGCGCGAGGTTCAGCATATCATGCACCAACACCTGTTCCTCCGGTGTCATGGAATTTTGTAAATGTGGATCGAGAGCTGACGTGGGCAGATACTGTCTTACGCACGAGTACAGTGGCATGGGGTCCCTGCTGTCCAACCTCATGATTGCCCTCTTGGCAGTTACCAGCTTTAACAATACCACCCCAGCGCACGAGTACAGTGGCATGGGTGCAACAATTGCCACGGCGGGTGGCATTGAGCACGCCCGCCATACACTCCCAACAAATGGCATGTCGATTGCAAGCCAAAACGAAGGAAGAACGGTCACCACAAAAGAGCATGCATTCAGTATACCGCCCATGGCCGCAAAATGGACATATCGTGTCCGGATGCGGAGGGTGCCTGCAATCAGGAACAGTGGGACAACCCTCTGCACACATGGATGCAGAAACCATGTCATTGTAGTGATTGTGACAGAGACAATGGTGGCTACAGCCGAGTGTAACAGTGTTTGTGGTTGTGCAAAGGAGAAGGTCACAGAGTGTTGGTGCATTGTCTTGCTGTAGCACGGGGCCAGAGGATTGATCTTCAACATAAAAGAGATTGCGGACGGTTTGTTGTGGCAAAAAAACAACATCATTTTGTAAGAAATCAGTGACATCAATCATGGCATGGACCATGGTGCCGTCGACCCCCTCTGGCAAAATGACGGTGGTGACCCCGACGTACGGAGGTACTCCTGGGTACATGCCTCCCGAGTACATTTACGATGCCAATCGGACTTTGTCAAGCGATGTCTTTGCATCTGGGGTGGTATTGCTAGAGCTGGTAACTGCCAAGAGGGCAATCATGAGGCTGGACAGCGCTGAGAATGCTCAGCTAGGTCTTCCATGTGTTCATCCACGTCATCCTTACAATGTATGTCCTCTCTGTCGTCAAGGACAGACTCATTCTTGAACCTTTTCTTATCCTCTTTTGCCTTCATCTTCACTCCACACTCCATACTTTCCCTTACTTTCCCTTTATCGTTCTTTGTTTGTCTGCTCTCCATCTCTCCTCCCTGTGTTTATCCCCTCCCCCTTCGCTCTGCCTCTTTCTCACAGCGTACAAGTGGGTTGTTATGGCACACGGGGATGGGGGCAGCTCGCGCTCAACTTCATCAACGTGGCAAGCCTTGTACGTGAGAGGCAGGTGAAAGGGAAGTCAAAAGAAGAACGAGTAAAATGAATGGTTTCACTGTGCCCTTCATGTTTGTGTGGTTTTTTTTTTGTTTTTTTTTTTTTTGTTTTTTGTCGTTTGTTTCGCAAATTGCACTCGTTTAGTTCATAATTATGTGACAATGACGATATATATATATACTGCAGACTGTTGAGGGTTCAGCCTCCTGATGAGTCGGTGAAACTCCGACGAAACAGTTTGTCACAGCCCCTCGTTTGTTGTCTTCTTCTCTCTCTCTGCCTACGGTTTACCGGGCAGTTCT